CTGAGAGAGGGAAGTAAATCTGTCCACCAGCAAGGGTAGGTGGTCCCCACGGAGGTGGGAGAGCCCAGGGACACGGCAGCTGGCAGGACCGCGGCCCCACGGCTGCTGGTGGGGATGTGCACCATCCCCTTCCGCCTGCCGAGGGGAGTGGGAAGACCGGAGCTGACTTTTGAAAAGAAATGCCTTTGCTGCAACACAAACGAAAAGCATGAAGCAGCTGGCCAGGAGACATCGTGTTGCTCTGCTTAATCCCAGAGCAATTGAGGGGGTTTCTTGCTGGGTCAGACTGTCCCCCTCTGAAATGCTGTGCCAAAAGCACAGAAAACATTGTTTGGGGATGAAGGCAGTGGTGGCACTCTCTTGGGCAAACCCAGGAACAATAAATCATCATATCTTTGTACAAAGCCCCTCTCCTAAGCCTCCCGAAGCATCTGCTGGCCTTGCGAGAGGTCATGGCACGCAAGCGGTCCCTGCCAGTTACCGCATGGCAGAAACGGCACTGCCGTAACCATGAGTTTAACTCCACTGCAATACCATCACGCCTTTATTTTCTTAGGTGAAAAGCACACCCTGCTCTCTCTCCGTGCCCCAGATTGTGGTTGGTCCTTTGGTGTCTGGTCCCTTTGCCCCGGGGACGAGCGGGAAGCGCCCAGCTGATGGCATCCGAGCAGCTCGGTCGGCAGCCAGCACGAAGCCCCGGGAGCTCATCTGTCTGATGAAATTATTTCGCGGTGTGAAGATCCTCGCAGCTGAAATTGAAAAGTTATTTATTTCTCCTCTAAAGGGGAAAAACAGCTCGCTGCGGAGGCTATTTGTCCTTTGGGGCAGGAATCTCACTTTTGCCAGCTTTCGTGTCTCTGCGCGCTGGCTGGGAGCAGTGAGATGCTCTGGCAGATAGGACGGATGGATGGAGCAGTGCTGATTCTCTCCTGCCCACAGCCTCCCTCCACCAGGGCAGGTACACCCAGGGGCAGAGGTCAGACATCGGTTTGAGCTGTTCCTCTCCATGGGACGTATTTTCCTGGGGTTCACAACAGCACCGCTAAAAGCAGCTTTTTCTCCGCTGCAGCCCGTTAGCGGTGCAGATGTTGCTTCTCCATCCTAACCCTCGGGGCACCGAACCGCCTTGAGAGGACCCACCGCTGAGGTGTCCTGCACCCTCCCTGACAGCCCCAGGGACAATGGTCTTCATTACCCGAAGGGACTGTGAAGCTTGTACCTGTCTCCTGGGTGCTCCAAAGGGACGTCATGGCCTCTGAGGTCCTTTCCCCTCCCAGGAGTCAGCATGTCCTCTGCAAGGGTGCTGGTGGGCTCTGCGGCTCACCGAGGGGCTTTTCCGTGGGACTGTTCACCCTGCTCACTCTGGCTGGGACATGAGACCAATTTAAAATCGCCCGGGGAATGGTTTTACCACTATTCACGTTCTGTACTGCCCTTTCACTTATCAAGGGTGGACTATTTCCAGGCATTCCCTGCATGGCCTAATCCTGCTCTTGCGCAGTCCGCAAAAGGCACAGCACTGGCTGGGCCAGTGCTCAATGCTTTGCAGCATCCCAGTCTGACAGGGCATTTGGAAGGTTTCTGTGAATGTTAAACCAGTTGCTTTGCTAGAAAAAAGTAAACTCGGAGCAGGTGAGAGCTGAAGAAGCTGCCCAGGACCGGCCTTTGCTCCAGGCCAGCAGAACTGCTCTCTCGATTCTCAGAGATCCCGTGGGAAACTTGACTTGGCACAGATGAGACTCAGACCAAACCGATACTGCACAGGCTTATTTTGCAAGTTCTGGGAAGCTGGGAAATACTGCAGGAAACCCGTGTGGGTGGTGCGCACAAATTTCTCATCGCGCTCGGATGTTACTTGCTTGCTCAGACCCTGTGCTAAGCAGGACTGCTCGCTTTGGGATGGGTAGGATAGAGGTCCTGCTTCAGGACTGGGCCTCCTATGTGCCAGAATAATAAAAAATAGCATTCAGTAGCAACAGTGCATCTGTTCAGAAATGAGGATGCTGTTGCATCACCGGCAGGCTTCAAATCCCAAGGGAAGGGCTCATCCCATGGCCAGAAGCATCGGCGTGCCAATAGGGCTGAGTTTCCACTAGAGGGTTGTAGAGCCGTACGGAAGCAGAAGCGGTTGCTGTGGCAGGAATATTGTATGTAGTCCTTTGTCAGCAGATCAAAAGCATCCTGCGATAGCCCGGCTTCCAGCAGTCTCCGCAGTCTCTGATGTACACAGCCTGCAAGCTGCGAGAGGGCTGGTGCCTGAGCAACCTGCTTCCCTGAAAAGCCTCTAGCATCCACATGAATCAGCACCTACTATATATATATATACACACAGATATAGTAAGTAAACACGTCGTGTCTATGCGTATAGATGCACAGACAATCCGTTTAGTCGTGTGCGTGGGATGCAGGAACAGCCACGCGGGATGGTGATGGCACGGCATCGCAAGGAGCCAGGGCACCGTCGGTGGGGCAGAGCCCACAGCCTGGCAACACGGCGAAGGGGACAATTAGCAGCATCGGTGCAATCAGGAGGATGGGAAAGCGATAGCGGTTTGGGGGTGCTGGCCCCCGAAGCTTGCAAGCCCACCTTGAACGGGAGCCGTCAGAGGGGACTGCCACTTCTGCCGCTGGCCATGTCCCCGCGTCCAGGGCAGCTCAGTAGGTGTATGTGTATGTGACCCCAGTATGCGCCCATATATCTTTTACAGCAGCATATGTATTTTTTACACGTGGATCTATAGAATCATAGACTGGGTTGAGTTGGGAGGGACCTTTAAAGGTCATTTAGTCCAACCCCCCTGCGGTGAGCCTGCATTTGCAGCTTTCTGAGTAGCTGGTGTGCAAAGTGTCAGCAGCTGTACCGCCCAGATCGGGGTGGTTTTACTGGCAAAAACCAAAAACTGGAGTTGTCTAACCCTGTGGGGAAAGCCCAAATAGCACTGACATTGCCTTCCTTTCACAGAAAGGGTGGGAGAGCAAATGCAACCACAAGGCTTGGAAAACACAGCGTGACGTTCGCAGAGAATTTACATAGCCATCATTTTATGTACCACCTGTTTGTCTGATACTATCACCTTTTCCATTTATAGCCAGATGGAAAATAGATTTTGCCTACATTTTCATCTCTTTTGTTATCAGAAAGGCTTTCAGGAACTAAGTAGGGCATATTCTTGCAAAAAAAATGATTACAGCAAAAGAAGGGTCTTAGTTCCCTTGGAAGATGACCTGATCTTACCTAAATTTGGCTGTGCAGAAACCAGCCATCGAGTCAACAGAGAGGCCTGAGAGTGCTGGGGTAGATTATCTGACCCAAACCAGGCATCTGAATCCTCTGCCCTTTACAGCTGGCTGGTGGAGCTAACAGGAGACATCAGAAGGAGGTCAAGTGAGCTGCTCTTTGCTACAGAGGACAAAAAGGCACCAGGGGAGACTCATCCAGCTGGGAAGACCTGCAAGGTGGACACGTGGGGTTGGGAGAGTCACCTGCCACAAGCGATGGTCTCCATCAACAAGTCTCAGACCTCAGGGAGACCAGACTGGCTGGAGAGCAGGGACTGTGGGGCTGGTGAAGCATCTCCTTCTCTGAACTGGGTAACGGTGGTGACACCAATATGATACCAGCAATGTGGAAGAGCTCTGTAACTCCAGGCCGCAGGGGTTACCCCTCTCCTCCTGACTGCTGCCGTCCCTTGGTGGGCTGAGCCCAAGGGGCAGAGGGGTGGTGGGTCACCCCCAAGGATGGGCGACTGCCCACGAGCTATGGAGAGGGAGGGTGGGGGAGAAGCATGATGTGAAGTAGGGTTTGGAGTGTGTCACGGTCGTTTGAGAAGGAGGGGAGGGAAGGAACGTAAGCGCTGTGCCTGGGAATAAGGTGTCTCAGCAGCTATGGGTTAGGAGGTTAGATTATAGTTTTTGAATTAGCCATTCTAACCAGTGAGAACATTTATTAGCTAATCATCATGGAATAGATACGCTTATTACTAATCTTTGATGCCTAAAATTGCTGCAGAAGGTTTAAAAAAATAAAAAAAAGCGGTATGTTGTTTTGGCAGCGCAGAGGAGAGCAGCCATGCACAGGCGTCTCTGCCCCATTGGGCAGCAACAAACCCCACCGGCCTCGGTGCGGTACAAAGGCGGGCGGCTTCCCTGCGCCTGCTTTTGCAAACAGCTCTGCAAACCCTCTTCTCACGTAGCGAGGAGTCTCTGTCCCTCCCAGAGGAACCATAAAATACGGCTTTATCCATCCTGCATGCGGTAATCAGACAGGCTTAAGAGCTTAAGCACTCATAGGGTAGCAATGCTTAAAAAGGATGTTTGCCTACCTCGGTCCGCTTCTCTAATCAACCCAGCCCTCGATACGGGCTTGTAGGGGCACATTGTTAGTGAGAGAGGCAGAAAATTGAACTTGCTAATAGAGAGGGAGTCGTTAAATTCGCGTCCGTGCGAGGCCGTGCCCAGGGCGATCAGCAGCTCGCACAAAGAGCCCGGTGCTGCTCCCCTTGCTCCGCTCACCGGCCAGCTGCCGAGCCCTGGAGCTTTGGGATCATGCACCAGGCAAAGAAGATGGGAGCAAACAGATTTCATCCTTTTAGATTGTTTTATTGAACAAAGCCAAGCAAAACGAATCCAACCCCGCCGTCAATACACCGGCTCCTCATTTACGCAAGACCCATTTCCACAGCTCTGGGAGAACACAAAGGCTGAAGTGTAAATGAGATCAGTGTCGGGAGCGTTACGCACATGAATATTTATCAAGGAAGGACCAGACAGGGGCCAATTTTCTGCCCTCCCGCAGCAGCCGGAGCTCGGTCATCAACAAGTGGGAGGGAAAGGGAAGGTGAAGGGGTTGGTACATGCTTTTGCGTGGGCAGGGGGGTGCGGGATGCTGGCGAAAGGCAATGCCTGAGCGTGAGGATGACCGCGGGAACCATCGGTCAGGGACAATGCCGAGAGGCTCCTGGGTTTTGGGACAAAAGCTAAGTACAACGCAGTTATGGAGCAAGCATACAATGTCCCTTCCAGACATGCAAACAGCTTGCAAGCTGCAGTTTAGGGAAAAAACCTCTAAAGAATTAACTGGAAGTTGTTACCATTCCTTGGGCGTGCCGAGTGCTCACAATAAATCTTTTTCCTGAAGGAAAAAGCAAGGTTAAATCAAACTACACAGCCCATCAAGCATGAGATTTACAGCAATCTAAAAGGGTTACGGGTTCATTTCTTAAACAGTTGAATTACGGCTGCTTCTGGGTATCGATATATTAAGCACCCTGACCCCCTCCGTGCTGCGAGGAGCTAGGGTATGAGCAGTAACGGAGAGATCGCGCTGGTTATCGTTTTTATGTACATTTCAAAGTCACTTCCGAAAAAGAAGATGAGATAGTAGTTGAGTATTCCAGCCACGGACATGAGGAACAGGAACAAGATGATGCGCTTTCCAAACAAGTAACCGGGAGTGCTGAGGAGACAGAGAGGGAGGAAGGCAAATCGTTAACGTACCTCACCTCACGTGAGTCCTCAGACTTGGGACCCTGCTGTTGAGAGCATCTCAAAGACCTCAGGGGCTGAGACGGAGGGGACAAAGCTCTGCTCTGTCTTGCACTGCAAGGCAGCTGCGAGCTCTTAAATGCCATTTTCAGGCTCCATTTGGGGCTGGATTTGGCCTCCTGCACTCAGTGTAGGTTGCTGCTCACCGGAGCGGTTATTCAGAGGGACTTGTGTCTTCTCAGCCATCACAGGCTGTGGGACAACCTTGTTCCACATGGGTGTAACGAGCTTTATTAATACAAAGGGACGACCTTGTGCAAATAGGGTTACAAACATGTAAACGTGTGAGTAGGAGCAGCTGAAGGAGCCGCTCTGTTCCTGCAGCTCCTTTGGCCCCACCGCATCCCCCACAGCTCCTCCTGTGCACCCAGAAGATGGGGAGGGAGGGGGGGCTTTCCTGCAGGACCCCGTGCAAGCGGCCATCGCAGGCATCACCGTGAGCTGTGCCTCTGGAAGGGACAGCATCCACGTCCCGGATTTTGTAAAGAGGTTCTGCAAGTCCTTACCTCTGAGTCCTTTCCCCGAGGTAGCCCACAAAGTACTTCTGCCTCACAAACAAGTACATCAGGCCGGCAAAGGCGGCAGGAGCTGGGTAAAGGGTAAAACAAGGCGTTACAAACACCAGCCTGGGTCTCGCTCCCCGTGCTGTTCCCATCTGCTGCCTGGGTTGGATGGGGAGTGGGGACTCATAGAATCACAGAAACATTATGGTTGGAAGAGACCTCAAAGATCATCAAGTCCAACAGTATACCCGATGCCACCATGCCCACTAAACCCACTAAACCGTGTCTCGAAGAATCTGCAGCCTTGGGCTGTGGGATGGACACTGGATCTGGGACAGAGACCCTTGCGTGGGAAACGGAGCACTTGCCTTGCCCTCGCTTCAGCTTTTCTGAAGACTTTGGGGGTATAATTCCGCCCACAGCTGTGCCCACTGCAGAGCACACGCTCGTCCCCGTCGGAAACCCAGCGTGGGTCATGCCGGGCTCGGGAAGGAGGGTGCTGGCTCGGGCACTGTCTTCACCAGAAAGAAAAGGCAGCTGATAGATGCACTTCTCCAGGAGGAGGTGGAGGACTATACTGTGGTCCAATATGCATTTCTGAGCACATAAAAAGGGTTTTTTCCCCCCTAATTCTAGTTTTCCCCACACCTACAGGCAAAACCTCCTTTTGTCCTGGTCAGAAAATTCCTCTTTTCGAGAAAGAATAGCCACAGACCCCAGGAAAGTACTCATCTTAAATGAGGTAAACTCAAACTGCGTTGAAGGGCATCGTATTTAGAAATGCAGGTAAGTACTCCTGGGCTGCCCCCAGCCCTGGGAAGGGCTGGCAGCTCTGCCAATTTAATCAAATGAGCCCATTTCCAGACCTGGAGGTGAATAATGTGGCATCCAGCATCCAAGTAGTAAACCCTCCACCCAAACCAGAGGGATCTCATCCGTAATGCCTCTATGACGAATGTCCTTGGCCCCGACTTGTCCTGAATCATGTCTGGGAACACATCTGTTGGCATAAACCGTGCCAGGAGTGTGCTGCTACTTAAACCGCCTGGGTAGCTGCAGGACCGCCGGGTGGGACAGGTTCCCCAGCATCAGGAGGATTTGGTCCCTGGAAGTGTAACCACCTCCGAAGTGCTCGCCATCCCTTGCTGAAAGTGATGCAAGGTTGAAGGGAAAAAAAAATAAATGAGTGTTACCTTGGCTGCAGAGAAGGCCAGCGCACCAAAGCACAGCGAGAAATGTAGGGTACGCGTGTCCGCAGTTCTGGCTAGAGAGGAATTTATAGGAGAGAAATCAGAACATGGGGAAATAGAAATAAAATCAACATGTTTCACCAGCAAAGGATGGTTGGCGGGTGAATCCGGGCTGCACTAATGCCATTGCGGGTGGGTTTTTACCCCAGGCAGCTGCCGGGGGCCGGCTGGCGTGTCCGAGCCCGAACACGGCGGCTGCTCGCCCATGGGTCTGCTTCCCGGTGTCCTGGCTGGGATAAAGGATGCCTTTGTCCTGCCTGAGGAGGAAAACAAACCGTCCCGCGCACACGGCTGGCACCGGTGAAAGCCGCTTTCCTCCTCTAACCTGTCTGATCAAGGCACGGGTATAATAGATGCTGTATGTATAATATTGGCTTGGAAAATCCTTGTAATTAACTCATATTAATCAAATTAGTAGCATTGAAAGCTGCATGAAACAACAAAAGGAAAACCTCACAGCAAAAAGGAGTGTCTGACAGTTAATGTGTCCCTTTGCAGGGGGACAGGAATGATTTCCAGCTGCCTCCTTTGGGCTGGGATGCTTTCCGAGGGGGAAGCACTCTGCCCTTGGCAGAGGTTGCACGGCTGTGAAGGGCGGCACTTGGATGCCCCATCCAGTTTCAAGCAGCACTTCAAGAGTAATATAAAATATTTTATGTTCTTTTTCTCTTCTGGGTTGGAATTAATTTCCCCTCTGCTCTCTCTGAAGGGATGTCAAAGACAAGAGGTATCAATGTGGCAGAGAAGCGAAGCACCGCGTGCCAAGGGAGTTGACCGGGGACAGAGGCACCGGGGTTTGACAAGATCTGCCACCGACCTGCTCCTCAGCAAGTCGGCGTCTCTCCGCCAGCTCTTTCCTTCGGAGCTGCGGTGCCCTTGGGACAGCGGCTGTGCTTGTATCACACCTCCAGCATCACCTACTGTGGGGTGAACGGGCTTCCAGATGAAGGGACATAATACACACAAGGGCTGCAAATCCTATATATAGACAGCACCCGGTGACCAGAAAGGAGCTGGGTTGACCAGCAAACGTACTGGAGAACCATGGGTCTAAATGTCGCTGTGCTGCACACAGCAATGGGACCGCAGAGCAAAGTCTGGACCGTAAAAGAGTTTGGATTAAACCCCAACGAAGAGAGAGACGAACCCCGCTCTGCCCCACCAGCACCTCGGGGCTTGCTTACTCACTTGGCAGTGTAGACACGGTCGAAGGCGGAGGATCCCGGCCGCTGGAACCCCTTGCCGTTGCAATGTTTGCTTTCGTGCTCCAATTTGCTAGCAAAGAAAGCTGTTAAAAAAACACACAGTGATCGATCTGAGATGTAATTTGGAGATATTGCAGGAGATGAGCTTTGTGGGTTCAGCTCTGTTCTCGTGAGCATCCAGGCTGGACGGCAGGAGAGGACGCGGGTGCGTGGAGGTGCAGGATGTGGCCAGGGTGCTCGCTCTGTCACCGAGGTATAACCAAACCCTCCGTGCAAGGGCGCAGTGCGACGTGACCTCAGACATCCTGTAATGTCACGACCCAAAAGGGGTTTGTTAGGATGGCCTCCCTCCCCTTGGGATCAACGACCGAGTTCGTAGTTTCCTTGTATTGAACTAAGGTGAAACAACACCAGCTGACCAGTTTTGTGATTTATTAGTACAAAATACAAGGCGTGTGTGTGTAGATACGATAAGTCAATGACAACTGCTGAACTGGATGATGTAACAAGATGAACAAGTCCCGTGCGGCATGTTTTACTCAGAACTAGTCATAAAAAGAAAGAGAGAAGGAGGGAGAAAAAGAGAGAGAGGGAGAGGCAGATAAAGAAGAGTTCACCACTGGTGGATCCAGCGATGTCTTGTTGGTCCTTTTTCTTCCAGTGTCTTGGGGAAGGGGGGGTCCCACCCCCACCCCAGCTTCTGGTGTTACCCTTTTTATACAGTTCAAGTCCTAAAATCTCCACCCGGTTCCAGGAAACTTCACGCGTACGCATGGTGGGCGCGATGCCATGTCAGGGTGGGTATGGTCGGGTTTGGCGCAGGCTCGGTGTGTCCTGGGTGGTTGCAGGGAGACTGTTTTGGGGGGTCACATCAGACGAGACCCTCCCCAAGGTGGATGAACTCGCACCTTGCACAGGCACCGTTATCTGTTGTCCAGTTCTTCGCAGGGCCGGCACATCTTATGCACCAAAAATATTTAAGCCAAATGCCCTCGCCTGTCCGCCACCCCTCCCCGTGTCCCCATAAGTGACTGGCAGATGGCTTTCACCTCTGAGCCCTCCTCCAGCCCCACACTTCTGGCAGCCTGCACCTCCGTCTGCTGCAGAACCACAGCCCCGACTCGGCCCTTCGAACTCCCCGTCAGAGCTGCCAACCCCAAACCTCGCTCTCTAACAGAGGGGGGAGACAAGGGACCCTGTTCTCCTTTAGTGATACCCATTCACCAAACCAGCGAGATGGTTCATTTTCCAGTGAGGCCCATTGAAAACCCGGTCCTGATGGCTGATCTCTAAGTGTCCATCTTGTGGGTATCCTCCTTTTAAGCAACAGCGTTGTGTCAGAGCGTTTGCTGCTGCAAAAACGCAATGCCTCAAAATAACATATCATGGGTATGACAAACACGTTTTATCTGATGACACAAAACCAGAGACCATCAATGATGTGTCTAAATGCACCAGAGAGAGCCCTGACAGGCTCCAGGCTGCAAGCTTTAGGTTGTCCTGCATCCCATCTCAGCGTACCCAAATCACCCTACTCTTCAGAATATTAGCCAAAGACATATATAAAAGATAACCCATCAGGAAAGGCATTATTATATCAATAGAAGTGTAACTTGGTAAGCTGCAGGATATCATCCCTGGAATCTGAAGAGTTACCTCTTTTTTCCCCTCACTGATGCTGTAAGAGGGTCTTTCGTACTTCCACTGCCTTCACTAAAAGGCACTGAGTTTTTCACTTTCCGATATTGAGCGATTCCCTGGGTACGTACAGCCTTTCTCCAGAAAAACCCGCAGTGCTTTAAGCCAGAATCCCCGCTCTGAACCAGGCTGCAGACCCTCCCACTGTCACCAGTACAGTAGACTGGGCGGCTGCTGGAGGACCCAGACCAGAGACGGTCCGGCGGCACAGCGACCCACAGGTCTCAGCATCCCCCTCCGCCCACCACCCCAGTCTTTGGCATGGGGCTATGAGCCTGCCGACAGGGTCTGAGAGGACCTAGTTGAAGAGCACTAGGCTGAATAGTATTTTTTTTGTCCGGTGCAAAGCTGTGGTGATGGGAGACCACTTAATGCAGGTCTGGGATTGTGTGGGCTCACGGGGGTATGCAGCATATCTTCTCCTTTCCTTTTAGCATGCATGTGAAGTCACTAGAAGATGCCACAGCTTCAGCAAAAGCCAAGAATAAGCCATGTATATCTCCTTCTCTGCTGCCATAGGTGCTGCCACTTCCCAAATGCCAGCGTGCCACTGCAGAGAGGCTCCGCGATGCCGAGAGCCATCAGGCTGAACACAGGCACGTCCAACGTGACAGTGGTCACCAAGGACAAGAGCTTGGTGACCCTCTGGGATCGGGGCTGGGCAAGCCTGGGGGTGCTGGGTGTTCCGAGAAGGATCTGGCTGTGGAGGTCCAGGCATCTGTCCTGGAAGCTCTTGCCATCTCTGACGTGGTGTATGGATGGCTGGTCAAAGGACTGGGCAGCTGGGCAAAGGACAGAAGTAGGGTTATCACCTACACCCACACCACGTATGAGGAGCAGGCTTTGTCTCACTTCAGAGACATTGAGGAGTGTTGGGGAGACAGATGTTTTCCTTCTGTAAACAGTGGGTGACAGAGGAAAACAGAAGAAAGGCATCTCAAGAGGTCAATCCATCCCTCAGAGAGCTGTTGGCATGAGAGATACCGCCCTACTGAAGTGTTGATCTTTCTCCATCGACTCAAGAAAGAGCTTAGGCGATCACCTCACGTGAGGTGTCCACCTCTTCGCTAGCAAACATTCCCGAGTCGATGGCCTCCAACACAGCGGCTGTATTTCTGTATTTCCTCAGGACCACGTGGACCCCCAAGGTGAGGGCAGTGAACCGGAGGAGAACCCAGCATCTCGCCGTCCCACGGAGAGGTCCAGCCTCCTGCTTAGCCCTGTCAACCTCACGTGCCATCCAAGTTCCCGAAATCTTCCCAGAAGGCAGCCCAAGAGATGGGTCCTGGCTGCCTGAGGTTCAGCCGGACTGAAGGAGCCGAGCAGAGCTGACAGATCACACCTCGCTGCGGGTCTGCGCTCCCATCTCAGCAGCCTTGGGCTCCTCTTAACCTGGCATTGGGGAAATGGGAGACTACAGCGTGAAGCAGCTTGCAACACCACGGTTATATTTCCTGCTCTTTATTCTGAACCTGAAGGCAAGAGGGTGCGTTCACAAGCTGGCGTGAGATGGGTGAGCGGAGCAGGGCTGGAGCTGAGGGGTTCAACTCAGGAGGTGATGTCCTGAGGTTGTAGGGCTGCAGAGGTTGCCCTGAGCCTGAACCCCTGCAGTCCCACTTTGGTCAAGTTAATGTGCAAGAGTTCAACCCAAGCCTGGTTGTTTCACAAATTCACGCCAACAGAAACTGTGTTCTGATGCTCCAACCTAGCGAGTGCTGGCAAACGTGCAGGTTACCCCTTCTTTCCATTGCTCTCTCTTTGCTTCCTCCATCCCGATCTGCTCAGCGATGACCACTGATTGCCCTGAAAGCTGCTGAATTGCAACATCTCTTTGATGTAAGAACAAAACCTAAAGCTACATGTGTGACTCAGCGGCATCCGGCCACACAACTCATTCTGCAGGACATGGAGATTCCCACCATGAAGAAGGTGACAGTGAATGGATGTCAGACTGGGGTAGCACCACAGCCCACCTCCAGCTTCAGAAAGAACAGCATTCACCCCAACTGTTTTCTAATCCTGTGCCAGATGCAGAAAAGCATATAAACCCAAGTTTACATGGTGCTGAGTTCACGTACTTGAAGACAGTCAAGCAGATGCCTGAGCGCTTTGCTGAACCAGAGCCACAGCAAGAGTTCAGTACAACTGATATCCCTAGACAAGCGCTTCTACTGCCTTAACTGTTGCATTCATTGCAGGACTGCATCTCAGTCCAGTCTTTCTAGACAGAAAGCCTAGGAGGAGGAAATCAGATGATGCAAGGTCTGAAACCATGGTTTAGGGCTGTGTTACACTCGTGCTTGGCATGCTAAGTCCTCTGCCAAGCGTTGTGCTGCCCATTTGCAGCAGTTGGGTCAGTAATCTCACAGACAGATTTCCATGAGATGAAAGTGCCTATCAGGCTGGAAGGCGAACGCCTGACTATCAGAGTGAGAAGAAAAAAAACATGTACATAAAGTCATCTGGTTAAATAGCAAAAAATGTATATTTGACAGATTTTTTTAAATTGCGGTACGTGCTCTGATCTCAACGTGCCGTATTCTGGTGACATCACACACTGTGCATCTACCAGAAAACAGCGTTGGGTTAAAGGATGTAGCATTTAGTGCCTACGTCAAAACCAAACCAGTCTTGTACCTCTTTTTCTCGCTCTCTGGCAACCAGGCTTACGCCGAGGCTCCCACCACTTCCCCTCTCCGCGGCCGCCCAAGAATAGCCCATTTCCTAGGTCCGAACGTGGGTCTGTGCTCAGTTGGAATCTCCCATTCGTACCAAGAAGCCTTCACAGAAGTTTTCTAGCATTTGCATCAGCCCCTCCATCCCACCCCTGACTCTCCTTCACCCTGGGCGATCTCAGCGCAGCTGCGGCAAAACTCACTCCCTTCTCTGTACTCTGGGCAGAATTCCCTGCTAAAATGATTAAGGATTTGTAAGAGTCAACGATCAAATTAAACCCAGATTCGCACAAGAGAGAAACTTGTTGGTTTATTTTAAAAATCCTAAAGAACAGTAGGGAGGTCTGAATAAGAGCTGAAAAAAGGAAACTCCGCCGTCGCAGGAAAGGCGCAGTGCTCTCGGGACTGCAATTAATTGAGCTTCCTCAGACCGTAGGACCTTCAGACGCAGGGAAGAGGGAAAGCTGCCTGCCCACAAACAACCCAAACTCTGACGAGTCGGTGGGGTTTTGACCCCTTCGCCCAGCTCTGGGCAAAGCTCTGACCCATCACAGCCCCCCCTGAGACCCCGGAGGGAGGGCTCTGCCTGGAGAGCAGCCCTGGCTGCCCACTTTGGGGACTTTAGCCAGGAAAGGAGGTGTCAGTCATCAAATCGAAATGTGTAGTGTATCCCAGCATATTAGTCCTTTCCTTAGCTGTCATACGTATATCGAACTCACTCTGGAATATCACAGAGTAGGACCACGCGACTGCCAAGATACTGCAACAACGGCACGCAAAACCGTATGCTTAGAAGATGGCTTCTAAAGCCAAAGTCACTTCTAAGCACACACAAACTTACAACCAGAGATTATCTTTCCAAAGATCAGATCAGCATACACCATACTGAACTTTCCCCAACAACCTTTTAGCCCTTAAATAAATGTTGATTTTTTTGTCTTACCGTTCTGGACAACACTTATCAAGGTGACGATGGCGAGCAGGACAATGCTTCCCAGGGTTTCTTGGTCCATGTTGCGAGCGGGCTGTCGGGGTGGATGGTGCAGCCTCAGCGGCGGCTCGGTCCTGCAAGCGCAGAAGGAGGAAGTGAAGGTTTTTCTTATCTCGAATCGCGAAACACTTCCTATGGCTTCACAGGAGAGCGGCAGCACCCTGCGCTCGGCTGCCTGTCGGAGCGACACAGCCCCAGGCTCGCTCGTGCATCATATACAGACGAAGCCCAGAGAAACCAGAGGTTGTATGTCCGTGATCTCAGAGGATCTATAATGACATCTCTTAGATAGGCATCATTAGACAGATATCGTTATCTAAAGATAGCTGTTGCCTTTCCTGCACAGGAGAGAAAGAGCAAGATATCTAAGCATTTGATATCTGATATTTAACCGTGATATCTGAGCATTTGGCTAGCCGTGTGGAGGAGCAGAAAGGCTGGAAGAGACCAGTCGGGCTATCAAGTCATTGCCTGCAAATGCCTGGCCACCCCACAAGTAGCCGGGAGGAGAAATAATGTTGGTGAGTCTCAGTAACAGTGCTGCTCTCAGACGTGAGCCCTCCCTGGTCACATCTCCATCAGCCTCGGCAGTGAGGAGACCCCAGGTCTCCGGGTCACAAGCAAAAGCTCCTGATCCAGCTGGCGTATTTGAACGGGCGGTACACAAATGCTGTGAGCATCGCCGGTGGGCACAGAAATACATCTTTCCTTATGAGGGATGGATCCTGCATCCTTCCCCCGACAAGTAACTCCCTGGAAGACAGTGACAGCTGCCAGCATTCGGCTTTTTACAGGCTCAGACTTCACAGTTGTACCCCAATTTTAGTAGCCAAAGCCCAATACGCCCGGACATAATTGCTGCACCGTGTTCACACCTCAGCATCAGCCCCGTGACGGAGATGGCAGGGAAGCCCAGGCTGCGGTGTTGGGTGGCTGCAGAAAGTCCCACAGCTGCGGTCAGATCACCGGCAAGCATCCTCATCCAAAGTCCACATCACCTCCCGACCGTAACCGCTCTGCTCCCTTTTGCCCACATTCTGATGGGGAAAAGCCTTATGAAAAATCCTTACTTTTAGCAGGGATTTAACACTAATAAAAGTAATATTGTCACTGGACTGAACCCTGGACAACTTTTGCCCTGTCTGTCTGTCCTCCACCACATGCTACCCAGAAGGTCTGAGTGCCGCCCAGCATCCAAACCATGGCCGGATAACTGGTTACCTCCCTCTGGATGGGACACAGCCTGGTAGGACCTCCCAGCAGGTACCAAGCTGCAAAATCCATCTTGCTCAGCAGGGATACATTTACCTACAATGGTGTTTTTATCCAGTCTCTCTCTCATGCAAATTATTATTATCTGTACTATTAGATATGGAAAACTCTCAGGTACTTTGGGTACAAGCAAATATATAGAAACACCCTGGCTGAGAGGTAGGTGGTTAACGTTGTGAGTTGTGATATTCTCTGTTAATAAGTTGTGAACTTCTTATAACTTAAAAGAAGGCGGCTGTCTTTCTAAGATACTTTCCCTATAGTCCAGGCAGACACAACTGTGTGAGCAGCAAGGTCATAAATAGTATCGAGGTTGAGATTTGACCTTTTATTAGGCTAAATGCTTTTATCAGGACTGAAGTTCTCTTTTTCCCCACAAAATGGCCTTTTCTTACTTAAGCATCAAAGTTTATGTTTTGTGGTCTACTGAGCACAGGATCACATCTGGTATTTGAGGATGGTATTTAATGCTATTCTTCTCTTAATCTCCTGAAGAGGAAAACCCATCACCTAAAAGTGGTTACAGAATTAGGTCAAAAGAGGAATATTGTCCAAGTGGAGACCAGCGCCACGACCATGAAGAAAGGACCTGTGCGTGGAGATGGGCAGGCAGGAGGGAGCTGCTGATGGGAGAGGATGAAGGAGACAGCACAGGTCCTTGGGGCATCCGCAGCAGGACGACTCCCAGCCGTCCTCCCACGGCAAGCACCGAGCCTTCTCTTTCTTCTGCCTGTTTTGTGCCGGTGTAAACCTACCAAGCAGCTTGGAGCTTGCTTTTGATTTACAAGGGGTAGTAAAAGCAGATGAGCCTGCTCTGAGATCTACTCCAGCTAGCCAAGAAAACACACAGATTCTTCCCTGCTTTCAAGATTTCCCAAAAGTGGCTTCAATTCGGCCAGAGTCTCGTACTAAAGGAGGTAGAAATCAGGCTGCTAAGGTCTGAAGTTGCCATAATGCCAAAAAACAACCCCAAAACCCACCACGTGCAGGCCGGGTTGTGATTGTGCCCCTTCCGATTCCTGCCTGTCCCCCAGCACCTCTTGGCACCGCGGGACCTACCGGCAGCACCGGCACTTTGCTGGAAACTCTGCCTGTTCCTGCCTCTTGCTGAGGCTCTCTCCAAAGTCACCCCTCACGTAGGCGGGGAGGAAAATAGGGCTTCACCCTCCTCCCTGCAAACAAAAACCCCAAAACAAACCATGACATCAATTCCAGGGCTTACTAAGCTGATTTCTGGGTGTGCAGGGAGAAAAAAAAAGCTTTGCCAGCAAGAATCTGTTTGGTACGGCTGCCTTAAAATAAGAACTGCAGGTATTTGGGGGATTTTTTTAAGCGCAACATCACTCTAAGGGCTCTGCTTAAGGGAAAAGCAGAGGAAATCAAGAGTGTATCAAGACAGAAGTCATTCCGTCTCTTTACCGCAGCAGAACAACACTGTTGTAAAATAAAAGTGTCGGACAGAGCAGAAACCTCTTGCAAGGGGGAATATTATCTTTTCGTACCCCTTGGTGCTGGAATAGTTGCAGGATGGAAGGAGGTTCTGGAAATTTTTTTGCAATTTGGAGAATTGCCTTGGCAAGGGAGGGCTAAGGTGGGGCCAAAATGACTCCGCAAACAGCATCTGCCTTATCTACACGTTAAATTGTTCCCTCTCTCTGAGACCTAAACGTCGGGGTGGCTCTTGCCTCCCTTTCTTTTGCGGGATACACACAGGATCACCGTCTGGGTCAGGCAAAGTTGGCACCACCGGAAAATCCTGTCCAACCTGGGAGAAAGAGCGATGCAAGATGCCTCCATCGTATCCCAGCTGGCCATTTGAAACAGATGATTTTCTCAACAAGGGGGGCAACAACAAGGGGGGGAGGGATGGACATTTTGGGGAACAGTGCCTGCATCTGCTGTAACCCCCCGATGCGGTGAGTGCTCTCCAAGGAGAGGTAATTCTGCATTTCAGCAGCTGCTGTCAGACCGCAGCCCCTCCGCTCGCTGCATTGCTCTTTGACATCCACATCTTCCCGTCTGCGGAAGATAACCTTGACACAGCGAGCCATGAAGCTCAGGAAAATACGCAAAGCCAGCGAGCTTTTCCAGTTGCACCGCGAGGCTTCTCACACATTAATCTCCTCCTCTGGAAATCTCAAACAGCCAGTCAAAATAATCCTTTTGGAGAATTGCTTTCATACTGAAGAGGAAAGGACTGGGAACACAGATCTATAAATATCTTTTGGGATGTTCAGCTCTCCTCTCCCGCATTCTGCTCAGCACTCGGCTGCAAGGACTCCAAGGAAATGTGTCTCCTAATAAAATGAAAGCTGTTTCTGTGACGTTCCTATGTATGAATGCCAGGTGACACACAACCATCATGCTTTGTCACAAACGCGATGGGACACAAGCCCCTCGGACTGGTTGGTTAATCTTTGCACTGTGCTTTGCAAACCTAAATCTCCACAGAACCACCGAACGTATAGTACATATACGTCCGTGTGTGAGACGACCGGCTGTCACGTCAGTCTGCTGCAGCATCGCATCCTTTCCTAAAAGCCTAAAGGGGAACGTGAACAGAGCTGGAAACACGGAGTGCAGCACAAAGAAAAGGACAACACTGCGGTTTTTTAAATGCTGTCTTCATTTTCCATGGTCGAGAGAATGACACCGTGGGAGCAATCAGAGCAGCGCCTTGAAACCCCCTCCTGCTCCACATTTCCCAGATTTCTTCCTTTCCATTGCTCTCTCCATACTCCACGTGTACAAATTCAGCTCAAAACACAGCACCTGAAGACAGAGCCCGCAGTCCCTCCGGGCTACCCCCAGGCAGCCTCCTCCTCACCCTCCCTGTCCCACCCACTGCTCTCCCCAGGAAAATTTTGCCTTTTTGTACAAGGAACGCATCGCTGACATCCCCGTGGCTCCGCTTCGCCCTCGGGTTCATTTCGGCAGCTCTCCTGCCTCGCTGGCGAGTCCCGTGTCATGGAATCGTTTTGCCAGGGCTTGTCTTTCCCGGAGCGGTTGTTGGCTGCAAGGTCTCGCTAGACCAGTTTGAAGGCGAGCCCGTCCACTGGGATGCTGGAAATCCACCTCCCACCTGGGCACGTCTGCAGGTTTGGTGTTTTCCCTGCCATTGGGAGACTGGAGAATTGAGGGGGGCCCAGGACAGCCCCTTCTGAAGCCTTTTGGGCAAAGGCCCCTGATTTCCCAGGAAGCTATGGATTAGTAGTGATGCCGAAGGAATAGGGTTAAAAGTTACAAAGCGAGCAAGCGTGCAAGTCTGTGTTGAAAACGTGAAAAGTATCTAACCTTGAAGAAGAACAGCACGGAAAGCCCGAAGATAAAGAGGGCAGTGAACTTCTGTTGTACGGTTTTATGGTTACTGACTTAGGTACTTGCAGGAATTTGGAATAAAGCTCAGATAAGAACATATTCTCAACTAATTTTAGGTGATTATAATACTAAAAATCACACCCCTTTGTGAATGATGAGTATGCCAATCAAAACCCCTCCCAAAATGCATAAAACATTAAGCTTACACAATCTTAGACGCATACATATAATACAGAAATTGCGTTTTACCAATCAGCCGTGACTTGTGGTTATAAATGGTGAAGGCTGAGCGATACGGATGTGCTGGCTGGTCTTCACTGCCCAGCACCCGATCCTGCAGAATGGAATTAAAGACAAATCTCTCGACTCGGTGGGTTGATGGGCGTTCTGCACGTGGAGTGAAGGACCCTGATTTAGGGACAGCAGTAGGGTTTGAGCGGTGCCCAGTGAGTGGCAGAGCCACTCATGGGGATTTCCTCTCTGTCGTC